TAAAAATGAACTGTACTGGTAAGTCAACACTGAATGAATATTCGACATGAAAAGGTTTTTAATATAAGTTGATAAAAACCTTTTCAAAATTAACAAATGTATTCGCATAATAAACACCTGCTGAAGGGTATCTTAGACATCTTATTTTCGAAAATCAATTCGTTTGCTTTTTTTTTGCACAAATTGACAACTTTTCAAACATGTTAGACGTTATGTAGATTCAAATTTATTTTTTACCCCTGTCTTCGTAGTCGGTATACCTTTACCCTCAGCTGCTGTTTCCAATAGGTTTAGTTTGGTACACGGAATGATTCGCTTTATTGTTTATAAATTCTGGTTGTACCATACTTCTGTGGTTTTCTCAAAGGCATAAACTGAACTGACAATACCATGATTGCCTGTCTCCTTACCCTTTCCGCGAACACCTGATTTTCAATGATCTATTTATATAATTTTCACTGCTTATTTGTCATTTACGCCTAATGGAACATGTTTCATAATGGAGACTGGTTCTTCTCCGCTGTTGACGTTCTCTATTTCAGCTCTGTTAACGTTCCAGTTCTCAAAGTTAGTTTTGTTTGAAAATAAACATCTTGGCTGATGTCTGTGTTTCCCCGCTTTGTTGTTTAACGCCGCACTCAGCAATATTCCAGCTCTTTGATGGCGGCCTGGACCAGAAAATCCAGTGATTGATAACATGAGCATCGATCTACGCAATTGGGATACGACGACATGCACCATCAAAGTCAGCGACCCTGACCACCCGATCCCGTTAGTCGCCTGTTGCGACAAGCATAATCGCCTGTTACGATAAACATGGGTTGCTGAATACCTATTCTACCCCGGATCGTAAATTTGAGAAACGTATCTACTGTCGCAAATCGTTATCTATGTGTTACAAGCATCCACCGGTCCCGTGCAGTGTTTATTATGACCCCCCAACCCCAGCTGTAACAAACACGATGAGCGTTGTCCCTTGGCCAGCTGCTTGAAGTAGGACGCAACCATTTATTGATGGTACCCAACAGGGTGTTAGTAATATATTTACAGACCATCGTCATATAGCTTGATTGGCTAACAGCGGCGTTAAACAACATTCACTCACTTGTTGGTTAACGCCGCCCTCTGCAATATTCCAACTACATGACGGAGGTCTCTAAATAATCGAGTCTTGACTAGACAATCCAGTGATTGAAATGGGATACGATAAGACTGGACATGCACATTGACCTTTTGCGCAGGTAATAATCTCACGCGATTACAGTATATCCCTATATTTCGCAACCAACGTTATCGTGAGTAATGTTTCACTTATAACCTAACTGGGTCATAGGCTGTTCACTCCTGTGCAATGTGAAAATACCCGAAATCCAACCGCACCCCACCTACCCACTCACTCACTCAGTAGATGTACACATCAGGTACACTTCAGTCACAAGGATGCCCCACCCACCTACCTACCCACTCACTCAGTAGATGTACACATCAGGTACACTTCAGTCACCAGGATTTTGGCTACAACAAAAACAAACAAACAAACATCACAATGACATACAAGCATGAATTTTCTTGATAGAATGTGCCTTAAACATTATCTGTTTACTTTGTAAGCATTAAGTCAGGAGCAAAATAACCTATACTTCTCAATCGATTTTATCATATATTTGATCTTCAATTGAAAATATCTTAAGTGAGCTGTATTATGTTTAAAAATGAACTGTACTGGTAAGTCAACACTGAATGAATATTCGACATGAAAAGGTTTTTAATATAAGTTGATAAAAACCTTTTTAAAATTAACAAATGTATTCGCATAATAAACACCTGCTGAATTGTATCTTAGACATCTTATTTTCGAAAATCAATTCGTTTGCTTTTTTTTGCACAAATTGACAACTTTTCAAACATGTAAGACGTTATGTAGATTCAAATTTATTTTTTACCCCTGTCTTCGTAGTCGGTATACCTTTACCCTCAGCTTCTTTTTCCAATAGGTTTAGTTTGGTACACGGAATGATTCGCTTTATTATTTATAAATGTCTGGTTGTACCATACTTCTGTGGTTTTCTCAAAGGCATAAACTGAACTGACAATCCCATGATTGCCTGTCTCCTTACCCTTTCCGCGAACACCTGATTTTCATAGATATATTTGTATAATTTTCACCGCTTATTTGTCATTTACGCCTGATGGAACATGTTTCATAATGGAGGCTGGTTCTTCTCCGCTGTTGACGTTCTCTATTTCAGCTCTGTTAACGTTCAAGTTCTCAAAGTGAGTTTTGTTTGAAAATAAACATCTTGGCTGATGTCTGTGTTTCCCCGCTTTGCATGCACATTGACCTTTTGCGCAGGTAATACTCTCACGCGATTAAAGTATATCCCTAAATTTCGCAACCAACGTTATCGTGAGTAATGTATCACTGATAACCTAACTGGGTCATACGCTATTCACTCCTGTGCAATGTGAAAATACCCGAAATCCAACCCCACCCCACCTACCCACTCACTCACTCAGTAGATGTACACATCAGGTACACTTCAGTCACAAGGATGCCCCACCCCACCTACCCACTCACTCAGTCAGTAGATGTACACATCAGGTACACTTCAGTAACAAGGATGCCCCACCCACCTACCCACTCACTCACTCAGTAGATGTACACATCAAGTACACTTCAGTCACAAGGATGCCCCACCCCACCTACCCACTCACTCACTCAGTAGATGTACACACCAGGTACACTTCAGTCACAAGGATGCCCCACCCCACCTACCCACTCACTCACTCATTCAGTAGATGTACACATCAGGTACACTTCAGTCACAAGGATGCCCCACCCACCCCACCCACCCACTCACTCACTCAGTAGATGTACACATCAGGTACACTTCAGTCACAAGGATGCCCCACCCCACCTACCCACTCACTCACTCAGTAGATGTACACATCAGGTACACTTCAGTCACAAGGATGCCCCGCCCACCTACCCACTCACTCAGTCAGTAGATGTACACATCAGGTACACTTCAGGCACAAGGATGCCCCACCCACCCACCTACCCACTCACTCAGTCAGTAGATGTACACATCAGGTACACTTCAGTCACAAGGATGCCCCACCCACCTACCCACTCACTCAGTCAGTAGATGTACACACCAGGTACACTTCAGTCACAAGGATGCCCCGCCCACCTACCCACTCACTCAGTCAGTAGATGTACACATCAGGTACACTTCAGGCACAAGGATGCCCCACCCACCCACCTACCCACTCACTCAGTCAGTAGATGTACACATCAGGTACACTTCAGTCACAAGGATGCCCCACCCCACCTACCCACCCAACCACTCACTCAGTCAGTAGATGTACACATCAGGTACACTTCAGGCACAAGGATGCCCCACCCAGCCATCTACTCACTCAGTCAGTAGATGTACACACCAGGTACACTTCAGGCACAAGGATGCCCCACCCCACCTACCCACTCACTCAGTCAGTAGATGTACACATCAGGTACACTTCAGGCACAAGGATGCCCCACCCACCCACCTACTCACTCATTCAGTAGATGTACACACCTGGTACACTTCAGTCACAAGGATGCCCCACCCCACCTACTCACTCAGTCAGTAGATGTACACATCAGGTACACTTCAGGCACAAGGATGTCCCACCCCACCCACCTATTCAGTCAGTCAGTAGATGTACACATCAGGTACACTTCAGTCACAAGGATGCCCCACCCCACCTACCCACTCACTCAGTCAGTAGATGTACACATCAGGTACACTTCAGTCACAAGGATGCCCCACCCATCGACCTACCTACTCACTCAGTCAGTAGATGTACACATCAGGTACACTTCAGTCACAAGGATGCCCCACCCACCCACCCACATACTCACTCAGTCAGTCAGTATATGTACACATCAGGTACACTTCAGTCACAAGGATGCCCCACCCACCTGAAATAATGACACTGTTGTCACTACAGTCTTCTGACACACATTGCAGCGTCGTGATGTGTCAAAACACGACTTCATGTCACTTTGGTAATATAGCATCAGTAAAAAAAAGGGTTTGAAGCCAAAGTACGCTTTGGATCCCAATGTTAGCTCAATCACACTTGGCCTTTTAATTCTTAAAGACAGGAGGTACCTTCAACCTTGAAATGAGTCGCCAGCTATTCCAGGAAGCGTTTCCCTGTATTTAAAACCATAAGTTCGCCCATTAGCCTCCTTTCTAAAGGGGTGGTGGGGTAGCTTGGTGGTTAAAGCGTTCGCTCGTCACGCTGAAGGCCTGGGTTCGATTCCCCACATTCCCATTTCTGGTGTCCCCGACGTGATATTGCTGGAATTTTACTAAAATCGGCGTGAATCCATATTCATTCAAACACTCACTTGGTTTCTTTCAATATGACCAGTCGACGTCTTTATGTGAATAATATTATTTCTCCGACAGTACCGACACATCTACTCTGCTCTCGTTTCCTGACAAGCAGCGTCTTGACATACGTAACAAATGTTATATTTGGGATAACACTTTCTCAGTAAAGTAGAGATTCTAGTACTTGTTTTTGGTTGACTCCCATCCGAGATTCAGGCACCTAGTGAGGCACCTATCGCCAGCACACAAAGTCAGCGATCTAACCCAGCCGACGAGGCTTCCACAAAAATGAAAAATCCGACATCTGGTAGACTTAAGTCTGAAACACGTACTTTGTGTACCCCTCTGACAAGTGTCTTGTCATACGTTTGTCCGATTCCGACTGTATCATCAACATGTGCTTATGAATCAACATCAAACAATGATGATACCACGTGTTCGCAAAACACAGAGCTTATCCTGCCCACCAGTGGCAATCGTCACACAAGCAAAAATATTAGTAATGCTACTTCACGCACACATCGCTACAGATTACCAAATATTCTGCTGAAAGTATTTTGACGTCAGATGCCCCAGTCCTGTCAGAAAAGCCCGGATGTGGGTCGACATGATAACGCTAGATAACGTGGATAGCAACGGTAGCTCGCACGAAGGGTTTACGTGGCGCTGGGTTATTGTGAAATATTCCAAGTATAACCAAATATATACGGGCGACAGAAACTGAGCAAGTAAATCATTCCCCCCAACTGTAAGGATCTCACGGGACACGTAACGGAGACACCACAGTCCCACGATGTTTGTTCGAAGTCGACACAGTGTTGCCAATGGGATTATCTCGGCTCTTGTTCTTGGATGCGGTGAGTGGAATATCGATCTCTGGTCAAGTGAAAACCTCAAAGAAATACTTAATTACTGCTAACAATTTACAAAAATTCAACCCTTATAAGAGCAGTATAAATATCTTTGAAATTCTGAATGTAATAGAAATGGCGGTGAACGTATGAACACGTGATGCCTTTGGAAACTCCACAACAATAATTGATATATATGAAGTCACAACACTTATTTGTTTCCTCCGAATTCTATATATCTATAACATCACCTCCGAGGGATGAACTCCGCCAGCCACATTTCTAGGCATTAAACGACACCATATCCACATGTTTTATCTTCGTAAGTTTACAAACAAACAAACAAACAGTCGACATGTGCAATTCTGGTCAACCGAAGTATGACGTATCTGTTAATACGTCTGTTTCATTGTTTGTTGTTTAACGCCGCACTCAGCAATATTCCACCTATATTACAACGGTCTGCATATAATCGAGTCTGGACCAAACAACCCAGTGATTGACATCATGAGCATCGATCCACTCAATTGGAATACGATGACATGCACCAACCAAGTCAGCAAGCCTGATCACCCGATCCCGTTAGTCGTCTCTTACGAGTTAACATGTGCTAACATTGGTCTACTAAGGTTATGACAATGGTATTAATTATATGAACAATTTCGGGTTGCAAAATGCTGATCCTGTATCCGACTATGACGTCATATCTCACACTCCGGCGCAGTTTCTGCCACAGGCTATTTTGCACATCACGTGACCCGACTTATCAGAACAGACTGACTTGATGTAAGCCTTTCCTTGCGCTTTACAGTGCGATTTACATAGTTATATCGATATATTACTACAATTGCGATAGGTGGGGACATGGCAATTCACGTATATCTTTATCCATCGCTGCCTCTACGTTGGGCTTCGATGACAGCACGTGGAGCTAAACAATAAATGTAAACCACCTAAAAGTTGTTTTCACGTTTTAGGATATTTTTTCAATGAAAGTTAATCATTCTATGACATATGTTTATCTAAATGTGCAGTCTCGTCAAACATAAATTAGATGAAAAACATATGCAACATCTTGAATGTACTGTGTAAGATGTGACCAATCGTCATGTAGTATATGTCAGGGGTGCTATTCTGGTCGCGTCGAACTCTGGGTAGGAGGGTGCTAATCATATCTTTTGCGTCACGATGAGTGGTGTGACGTCACAGTGGTGACGCCCGGTTTGAAACCGAACCTCGCACTGCTTACTTAATTATATGGAGGGGGGAAACTAAGATTACTACCTCTGCTACACTCGTTCAACGCGACTAAAGTATAATTAGGATCTAGAACGTCATGTTTTGTTAACATGTATCATCGGTGTTTCCTTATTCGATATCGACAACCCAATCAAACTATAGACCCAATCATGATCAATGCCGCTTTACTCAATATCTGTTATGACACTTAAGAGTTTAATTTTATCACTTTAGAATGGAGATAAACAATGTTTTCAATGTTTGTCTCCTAATTAATTTTTAGAATGTTTATTTCCATGGCCTTATTGATAACAGTGTTCATGACAGGTATTCTCTAGACTTGCTAGGTTCATCGCTGATTGTATACGTGTATTATACATAACCTTTCTGTAGACGATAATAAATTTATCTCATCCACCTTTGCCGTTCTCGTGACGCTGACGCGGCTCAATATAACTTCATTACTGTTCACACTGTGTTACAACAAATCCACCACACTCGCTTCTGATAACTAGGCAGCTTGCCATTTCAGACAACAATCAACCAATAAACAACAACATCAACAACAGTGCCTTAGGTTTGGTACCTCCAAATATGTTGACTGACATTGGAAAAGTACCCGGGTTTGCTGCCAGGAGTTTATGTGCAGTGTGTTGAGAAGACCGGCAACACTGCAGAGTCCTTCTTTAGATGAAGTCTGCTGGCCTGAAAAGTTCGAAACCGTCAATGTGTGATTTTGCATCCAAATGTAGATATGAAATGTAAATTATGTAAAGAATTTAATGAGACTGTCCAACACATTGGCAGTGGATGCCCAGCTTTGGCACAAACCCAGTATCTAAAGCGACATGATGGAGTGGCTCGATCATTTTATTACCGCCTACGCGATGTTTGTTGTTTTGACGCAGATGTCCATCCATGGTACGACCCGGAATATGTAGAGGGCGTCATGGAAAATGATGAATACAAAGTTCTTTGAAATAGGCCGTCAGACCTACCCAGGCCATCTTGTCCTTTTTGATAAATCCAATGAAATCATTAATATCATTGACTTCTCTCTCCCTTTTGACACTAATGTGATTGACAAGGTTCCGGACAGTATTATCTCCTTGTTGTCAATACCTTACCTATGTTATCCCACTCATATATGCAATTGTTGTTAATGTTAATCCTCTACTGTTAATCCTCTACCTACTATATATATTCTGTACTAAGTCCCTAATTCAGTCTTGCTTGACAACGGTATAAGGATCTATACGGAAAGTCGCTTTTTACAGTATTAAAGAAGTTTGTTATCCATAAAAATTGTGTCTACCTTGTCTACGTTGTTCGGGAAAAACATGGTAAATATCTCGCTTTCCGTAAAAGGCGACTATGCTTGTCGTAAGAGGCGACTAACGGGATCGGGTGGTCAGACTCGTTGCCTGGGTCGATGCACATGATGTCAATCACTGGATTGTCTGTTTCAGACTCGATTATTTACAAACCGCCGTCATATAGCTGTAATAATGCTGAGTGCGGCGTTAAACAACAAATATATAAAACAAAGAAGGCTGTAGTGTTGGCAATTCTTCACATTCTCCAAAAGGTTCTGGGAGGGTTTGACTAGGCAGCGCTTCCTGGGAGAAGTCCAATTCGCTGTCTGGGCTGCGTGTAGAGGGGGCAAGGGCCCTGAGCTGATGATGAGCCTAACCAGCCTGACTGTGCTAGGATTACCCAAACCCTCTTTGCTGCATTTTTATTTTAATCTGTAAATAATAATAATATTAACAACAACCCTACTACTACTACTACTACTACTACTACTACTACTACTACTACTACTACTACTACTACTACTACTACTTCTACTACTACTTCTAATACTACTACTACTACTACTACTACTACTACTACTACTACTACTACTACTTTTGTTATTACTACTTCTAATCAATCCAAACTTTAAGGTTCAAGGCTGCACAGGTCAGAGGTAATGCTTCAAGGGCATGACATTATTATACATATATTTTCGTTGCATTTCAAGCTTCCTCGGGAATATACATACAACACCAGTTCATCCTACCAGGTACCCATTCACAGCATGTCTGTCAAATGGCAATCACATATATATTCTTTTTCCCTTTCAGGCATATCGCTGAGTGTTCTGATTGGTGTGTTGTTCAAGAGGGAGATGGACATCTATAACAGCATACTAAGTCAGATGGATACGTTCTACGTCAGACCTGGTTTAGGCTCAACACCAGTGTGGCTTCTCGGCTTCGCAGTGAGTCTCAACTCCCAGTTATCTCTCTAAACAAAATACCCTCTTAACGAAATGAAATAAAAATGTTCAAATGCCCTACGTATCAGTGACTATACGGGTTAGAATGTATCGTCAGCAACTCATGCTTGTCGTTAGAGGCAACTGACGGAATACGGTAGTCAGTCTCGCTGACTTGGTTGATACAAGTCTTCGTATCTTCAATTGCTTAGATCAACGCTCATGATGTCAATCACATGATTGTCTGGTCCTGACTCAATTCTTTACAGTGCAACGTTAAATAACAAACAAACAAACAAAACTCGCATTACAACAGTCGTTGCATTCCCTACAACATGTATCGGTAGGGAGAACGAACCTGTACGTACATGTCAAAAGGACAAAATATTGCACGGGCCACTTTTCGCCACAGGATCTGAATACTTTATGAAATTAGCAAATCTTTTAGGAATTGTTATCAGGTGTGTATATGAATGAGAACCAGAATTTGTTCACTTCACCACTTTCGTCTCAGAGATTGATTTAAGAGGTTTCCAGGAAGCAATTTATTAATATTGCAGCTTGAGCAAACATAAACAACACAAAATCTTTTGCAGTACATTGTCCCTGGTCTGCTTGGAGCCATTTCCGGATGCGCCAGATTCAAATGTTTGGTAAGTGATTTAGGTCAAGGGATGAAAACTCTGTTTGTCCACTATGACAACACTTTCAGATAGTTTGGCATAAACGCTTAGCAGTTGAGAAATTCAGGAAACGCTGTTTGCAAACGTAATTACCCAGCACAGAGTAAACAGTTACCTTCCCCAGTGGAAAGATCGCCTGCCGTGCACAGCCTTCTTCATACACGATCCTTGTCCTTGTGATAGCATCCATTGGCATCTTGATGACATACTTAATAAATCCATATCCTTGAGTAAATCCACATATTTTGTTCAGCGGGAGGGACATATGCGTGTGCCAGTGATCGCTCGTATCAAAACCCGAAACACTGCGATATGTTGAGTGCAGCATGTGACATATCCTTGCAGCCAGCAGTTCTACAATTGACTTGCCTTTATATGTATTTGTGACGAGTGCCACCGGTTGGACAGGATACGCTCACCTGGTGTCAACACTATTTGATTGCGATTCATACACTCAGGCTCATAAAAAAGTCGGAATCGTACTGCTTATGTCGAGGCTATGGAATGGTTTTGTCGCTCCTATTCAATTTCAAGCATTGGTTGGATTCGCACAAAATTCATGCACGTAGTAGGGCTCATTTGACTTTCGTGAGTGGTGCATTGTCTCCTTTCATTGGCTGTCTCAAAATAGACACACGTTATCACTCCACGGCTGAGCGTATGTATTTGCGGGTTAAGGGGAACACAGCTTATACATAAAGTCATCTTCCCTAGGCAAGGGAGTTTACTGACTTAAAAGTCCAGTTTCAACCCTTGCCGAACTAGGCTGGAATGTCTTGGCTCTTACGAGTTATGTCCCTTTTATGTCCTTCCTATTGACCAATCAGATTCCACCTATCATATTGCTTGCGTTTGCTTCAAACAGGATGGTGGCGCCCAGTCAAGACGATCTGTTTATCAAAATATATATTATTATAATCTAAAGGTTATAATAGCACCTTGATTTAAAAAAATCAAAAGGTTTGGAAAATATCCGTCGACGCCTATATGCTTTGCATATACTGCAATCGACCTAAATCTGCAGGACCGTTTACGACTCGAGTGTCGATTTCGTAACGCGATTTTGATTGGACTATGCATATGACTCCCTAATTGTAGCCTCGTTCGGCAAGGGTGGAAACTGAACTTTTATAAGATGACATAACGAGTAAAGTACTGGCGATGGGTAATGCTGGATTATAGTGGATACTGCAGCGTGAGTTATGAAACACGTCACCCACATCTACTACAGTGGACACTGTTCTTCTCCTCAGTACATCGTACACATGGTGTTTTCTATCCTCACCCTCCTCGTCATGGGCATCTTCGTCATCCTTGGTATCATTGCCATTGGGGCCCTGGTGTCCACGCCTCCAAGTTCCTGTATTACAGAAGGCAATCTCTGCACTTGTAACAGGTAGGTAGAGTTGTGTCAAGGTGGTGTCTGTCTGTCTGTTACGCTGCAATCCAGCTATATGACGGCGTCTGTAGATAATCAATAAGAGTGCCTATGTATGTATGTATGTATGTATGTATGTATGTATGTATGTATGTATGTATGTATGTATGTATGTATGTATGTATGTATGTATGTATGTATGTATGTATGTATGTATGTATGTATGTAGGTAGGTAGGTAGGCAGGCAGGTAGGTAGGTAGGTAGGTACATGTAGACCATCATATTATGAACACACAAAGCCATTTATAAAGTGGTCTAATATAACAGATGCTATATTTGGGATAACACTTTCTCAGTAAAGTACGGATTCCAGTACTTTTTTGGGTTGAGTCCCATCCGGGATTCGAACTCACACTTCCAGTGTGAGGCACCTAATCGCCATCACACAAAGTCACCGATCTATCTCCCTCCGCCCGCGAGGCTTCCACAAACCTGAAAGTCCGACAACTGGTAGTCTAGATCATGTACTTTGTGTACCCCTCTGTGTGGGTTAGTTCGCTGACTTTGTGTGCTGGCGATTAGGTGCCTCACTCTGTCAGTGTGGGTTGGAATCCCGGATGGGACTCAACCCATAAAAATACTAGAATCTGTACTTTACTAAGAAAGTGTTATCCCAAATTATCCCATATTAGTTTATAGTAGACACCAAATGGATTGAACAGTTACATATGTATATGTCATGTATTTATATATACTGGTGTGAAGGAGAACAATCACAGAAACATTCGTGACCAACTCGTGTTGTTCCGGGACAAGCCGAATAGTGACTCGTGCCTTCTCTCATGGCCATTTTAGCGACCGGGATCCGTCTTAGCGCAAACGGGCATACCAAAAACAATTGTCAACTCGTTGCGTAATTGTTCACATATATTTCCCCATATTTTATATATATTTCAGATGCAATTTAAAGCACATCGGGACATGCGGAATTATACAGTATGATTGAACACATTAAACTGTGTCTTGGGTATATTTTTAGATGCAAGACATATGTAAAATCAAAAATTATTTCTGAGGGATTCTTTGACGAAGAACTTGAAATCATATGCGCATTCTGATTGGTTTGTCCTATTTTCGCACATAACATTCATCGATAGGGGGACGAGTCATCTTGCAGGTTACGGAAAGGGGCGAGTGGTGACGAATGTCACAGAAAGGATGTGACGTACGAATGTACACATTTCTGAATGAGAAAGAACGAAGTCAGTAGATACATGTTTTTTCTCATCTACAGCACGTTTCACTCATTGGATAAAACGATTAGCGCATTTATCCATAAAGAGTGAACTACGGTTATAACGAACTAAAATTAATTTTAGTTCGTTATAACCGTAGTTCGTTATAGGAACATATACAGCCTATATGCAGGAAATAGACGGGACCCAAAAACAGTTCGCTATATCCGTCAGTTCGGTATAAGCGTGTTCGTTATAAACGTATGTTTACAGTGGACAAGTGTAACGGAGTGAACATTGTGAAATGTTTATATTTCCTTTCTTGATAGTAATAATGATTCATTTCATTTATAAAACTGTTTTGTTTTGCTTCCTTCAGTGGATCCTCGAATCCAATCAAGTTCGACTGTGACTACGTCACAAGCGTGGCCGGTTTAGGGGTGGGCGCTGTTGTGGTGATCGTCCTCGGCTGGATCTTCACCCTCGTCAGCACCATCTTGTCTGGCATCCTCGCCTGCAGAAGCGAGGTAATAATTTAATTGTTTGTTTGTTCTTTAACGCCACACTCAGGAATGTTCCAGCTATATGATGGCGGTCTGTAAATAATCGAGTCTGGATCAGACAATCCAGTGATTGACATCATACGCATCGATCCATGCAATAACGATACAATGACATCAACCAAGTCAGCGAGCCGGACCATCCAATCCCGTTAGTCGCCTTTCACGGCAAGCATGGGTTGCTGAAGACCTATTGTGACCCGGATGTTCACGGGTGTGCGAGGTAATGAACTACAGTCACACTGGAATAGATGTCCCTCTGGTCCATGCCAAGAGGAAGCAATGTTTATGTATACATTTTCTGACGAAAGGTAGGAAACAAGGACACGAGGTATTCGTGCAACCGCTTCTGTCCTACCAGACAATCAAGTGATTGCATCATGAACATCTACCCATGCAATTGGGATACGATGGCATGCATCAACCTAGTCACCGAGGAAGACCACCCGTTCCATTTTGTCGAAGTTTACGACAAAGGTATTTTGGCCTGGATTGCCCCTGGTTTCCAAAATAGTCTTTCATGTTACACCCACGTAGTAAAATTATGCACGTTACAATGTGATAGGTTGAAAAGTATTGTTAACTTTTCTGAACTTCTTACTGTTTGTGAACTCATTCATTTTCTTCTCAGTCCAATTTTTACAAACAAAACTCCTATTAACCAGAACGATTTCGCTTTGAGTTGACACCTACAGTGACGCCATACTGTGCATCGTGTCACGTCAACATTGCATCCAGGACTACTGTCACACACGGACTGTAATATTTAAGAACCCGTATTGCGCCATAATTTCCGAATGATGTATCGAATGCTCAGTTGCAATGTGAATGTGAAAACCTATGGCCTGTTTCACATCAAGTGCAAAATATAGGAGAGATTTTCAAATGACGATACAAGCATGACTCTTAACATGAATATTCCTATTGTATGTATACTGAAAATAATATGTTAAGTACCTTAATATCCATGATGGCTGCCAAATTGTGCGTACACCTGTAATAACGTGCCTGTAATGAACTCTTTGATTTCAGATTCCCCAGCGAGTTGACATGCATACCATGCCCCCACAAGCCTACGTGGTAAACAACCAAGGCTACAGCGTAAAGTACTGATGTCCCTGTCATCTGTCTCTCACACAGCATCACCGTTAACCGACCGCTAAAACCCAAGGAGCCTGTAAATTATGGATCTGTAAATAAATCAAAACAGAATAAAATGCCAACTGATTAATATCAGCATCGGTTTTGAGAAGTCGGCTCAAGGAATAACATTCCGATTTTATATTTAGTCCAAAGGGTAGTTTTCTTATTCGATATTACCAAAGAAAACCAATATCATTTTAAAAAGACAACTTGAATTTACTGAATCTAAACAAAAGTTTTATCGTATATAGTAGATTGTCCCCAAATGGGAACTACAAGGCTTTTGCTTTTTTCAAAGAGATACTAAAGGAATTGTTCAACCTTCTTCAGTTGTATTATTAGAAAGTTAAAAGTATATAAATACTAACAGGCCATATAACAATACCTTCAACAATTGTTCCTTTTAGACATGCAGCGTGTTACGTGCCCCTTAATATAACAGCTGTTGAGATAGGCCTATATTATGATCATGAATATTCACGCTGACGTTTAAGTTCCGGATATATATAGTCTAGCTTTTAAATCGTTTCCACATGTAAATAGTAAATATATATCAATTAATATGAAATCAAACCCAACCATCATGAACACGTGTCCCCAAATATCAAATGACGTTGCCTCCACTTTCATTAAACCGAATTTCCCTTTTCCGCTTTTTTTCGATACAAGGGAATAAAATATTACTTAACAGTTATGCGTTGTTTGGTACCGGAGGGGCAGGGTACGCTGACATTTTCGCGAACACATGATATCGTCACTATTTTATGGTGATTCATAAACACATGCTCATGATATAGTCTTGAGTCGTACTATGAACTCAGCTTTTAGCAGATATTTCTAAAGGAAATGACTTTTGCCGCTTGTATAACTCTGTCAGCTTTGAATATTTATGCACTGAACAACTTTTAACACGCTATTGTCAAGAATCATTTGGCATTGATTACATGCTTCTCTGACATTCCACACGAGTCATTTCATCATTTGTTTTTGACAATTATTTTGTTGATACAATGTTTGATTGTAAACATAATTTATCATTAAAATTTTATATACATAAAATCTGCGTGCTTGTATTTCGTTAAACCTGTCTTCTTTAATAGTTGCATGTATTTGCGCATTATTTTTGAATATCGTCCTGTAATTCAAAGTTTAGGAACCGCCAACAATATCATTTTCCTCCTCGTTGCAAAACGTGGACGGGGCAACTCATGGTGCCAATGGCACAACTTGTGGCTGTCCAGACACATAGTACTTCTTCCAACCCCTTGGTTATATCATCACTGGTTGATGACAACAACACCTTTCTTCAGTTACTGGTATTCGGATATGGCCCAAAACATGGTTAACAGGCTGTAATAATTATTTATGGATTCTGTCGAAGCGTATGCCAAACGTGGACCAACAGCGAAGATGATCATGTTGAATGTTGCATGATGTTCCCCTTGGTAGAATACACACACTGAAAAAGAGGAAACAGAATTGGAAAAACCCATTCTGTCCCAACCAGCCGTCAGTCAAAGTCTGACTGCCCTACATGAAAAGTTTGTAGTTGTCCCCACTGACAAGGCCTCAATTAACATAACCATTACATGAAAGCATCACTACATTAACTGTTTAATCAAACATCTTGGTACAAGTGACATATCAAATAACATAACCATTACATGAAAGTATCACAACATTAACTGTTTAATCAAACATCTTGGTACAAGTGACATATCAAATAACACAACCATTACATGAAAGCATCACTACATTAACTGTTTAATCAAACATCTTGGTACAAGTGACACATCAAATAACATAACCATTACATGAAAGTATCACAACATTAACTGTTTGATCAAACATCTTGGTACAAGTGACATATCAAATAACACAACCATTACATGAAAGCATCACTACATTAACTGTTTAATCACACATCTTGGTACAAGTGACATATCAAATAACACAACCATTACATGAAAGCATCACTACATTAACTGTTTAATCAAACATCTTGGTACAAGTGACATATCAAATAACACAACCATTACATGAAAGCATCACTACATTAACTGTTTAATCAAACATCTTGGTACAAGTGACACATCAAATAACATAACCATTACATGAAAGTATCACAACATTAACTGTTTGATCAAACATCTTGGTACAAGTGACATATCAAATAACACAACCATTACATGAAAGCATCACTACATTAACTGTTTAATCACACATCTTGGTACAAGTGACATATCAAATAACACAACCATTACATGAAAGCATCACTACATTAACTGTTTAATCAAACATCTTGGTACAAGTGACACATCAAATAACATAACCATTACATGAAAGTATCACAACATTAACTGTTTGATCAAACATCTTGGTACAAGTGACATATCAAATAACACAACCATTACATGAAAGCATCACTACATTAACTGTTTAATCACACATCTTGGTACAAGTGACATATCAAATAACACAACCATTACATGAAAGCATCACTACATTAACTGTTTAATCAAACATCTTGGTACAAGTGACATATCAAATAACACAACCATTACATGAAAGCATCACTACATTAACTGTTTAATCAAACATCTTGGTACAAGTGACACATCAAATAACATAACCATTACATGAAAGTATCACAACATTAACTGTTTGATCAAACATCTTGGTACAAGTGACATATCAAATAACACAACCATTACATGAAAGCATCACTACATTAACTGTTTAATCACACATCTTGGTACAAGTGACATATCAAATAACACAACCATTACATGAAAGCATCACTACATTAACTGTTTAATCAAACATCTTGGTACAAGTGACATATCAAATAACACAACCATTACATGAAAGCATCACTACATTAACTGTTTAATCAAACATCTTGGTACAAGTGACACATCAAATAACATAACCATTACATGAAAGTATCACAACATTAACTGTTTGATCAAACATCTTGGTACAAGTGACATATCAAATAACACAACCATTACATGAAAGCATCACTACATTAACTGTTTAATCACACATCTTGGTACAAGTGACATATCAAATAACACAACCATTACATGAAAGCATCACTACATTAACTGTTTAATCAAACATCTTGGTACAAGTGACATATCAAATAACACAACCATTACATGAAAGCATCACTACATTATCTGTTTAATCAAACATCTTGGTACAAGTGACATATCAAATAACACAACCATTACATGAAAGCATCACTACATTAACTGTTTAATCAAACATCTTGGTACAAGTGACATATCAAATAACATAACCATTACATGAAAGCATCACTACATTAACTGTTTAATCAAACATCTTGGTACAAGTGACATATCAAATAACACAACCATTACATGAAAGCATCACTACATTAACTGTTTAATCAAACATCTTGGTACAAGTGACATATCAAATAACACAACCATTACATGAAAGCATCACTACATTAACTGTTTAATCAAACATCTTGGTACAAGTGACATATCAAATAACACAACCATTACATGAAAGCATCACTACATTAACTGTTTAATCAAACATCTTGGTACAAGTGACATATCAAATAACACAACCATTACATGAAAGCATCACTACATTAACTGTTTAATCAAACATCTTGGTACAAGTGACATATCAAATAATGCCGCTAGTTTGTTAACCGAGGACGGAATCTGCCCAAACCATGCATCAGCACTGTCATCGTTTTGACCGAACTCTAAAACCTGATGTCATGTCCATTCGTCTTTTGTACTGGATTCCAAAGCTCCATAAAAATCCGGACTGAGAGAGAAGATTGCCGGGTCCAACAAATGTGCCACCAAATCCCTGTCTCAAAGACTAACCCCTATCCTCAATACAATCAAGGCGGGACATTCTTTATATTCACAGAAAGTATTTGATTCAAGTGGAATTAATGCCATGTAGATCCTCACAAACTCAAAGGATTTGCTTGACGTTTTGCAATCGCAGAAAATAACCTAGGTCAATTCTGTCAAAACATTTGATTTTTCAATTTTGTACTATCCCAAATGACAAACTTAAGGAAACATTTCATTCCTTGATCCATGGGGCTTTTGTTACAAAACATGGTGAACACAGATAGTATTACAGTGACGTATCTATATTCAGAGGTTCAGGACAGTTTGTGAAAAATGAAAGCAAATGCCATCTGAGGTTTACTGAGAAAACAATATGTGAAATGCTGGACTTCCTCATTGATAACATCCACGTAAATTTTGCGGATCTGTTTCTTTATGCATATGAATAGGTATTTCTGTTCGGATTGGCAACGTCAAAACAAGGTAATTTGGCCTTAAGTTTAAACTTATTCTTCTGGTATATCGATGATATGATATCTTTCAATAACAATCAAACAGCTCAGGTGAACAATTGACTTGCCTTTGTTTGTTTTAAACATATTTTATTGACATATATGGTCAACGGGATTGGGCAAAAGTTATCCAACTTAGGTGGCCCTTTCCCTACTCTATATGTACAGACATTGATTATACATATATATACACATAAACATACACACATACATATACATACGTATACAGAAATACAAACATATACACATAATCATACACACACACAATCATACATACTCATACATACATACATATACTCAGATACATATACACTTATTACAAAGAGAAGTAACAAAGAGAAATATATTTACACAAGAACATAAACATAATGTTTGCAAGAGTAACATAGACAGTCATGCATAAGAATTGTCTATAGACACAGTTTACTTGTATGTACACATTAATCCAAAATACATGCAAAACTACATATATAATTACACAATCATACATACACTTATGTACATGTACACATATGCATACCTACACACACTACATGTACATACATACACATATACCCTTGAATACGCATGCATACATATATATACATACACATATTTACACACATACACCAGGATATATATACCCGTAAACATTATGTTTACAGAAGGAGGCAGAGATACACATGTATTCATATACATGCATGCAGTTTATTCACTGATGGCGTAATTAATAATAAATGGTCGCAGAGCGATATTCTGTATTAATGATAAAGGGTTACTCGAATCTATTAGTCGACAGTATATATTTTTGAACGCTGTTGAAGATGAGGTTATTGTGACTTTCAGATAGGGATACATCACCGTAGAGAATATTTTGTATTATACATGTAGTTCCAGCTTTTATAATGTTAGCGAACATGATATTTCTGGGAATAGTGTAATTGGGACATTCAAGAAAAAAGTGTATGTTGTTTTCACATGGGTTTCCACAAGAGCAGGACAAAGTATCAGATAAATTTACTTTAAAGAGTAGCCTTTGCATGTGTTTGTGACGAGCGCCACCGGTGGATCAGGATATGCTCACCTTTTCGCGAACACCTGGTATCACTACGCAATGTCTCACGAAGAACGACATAACCATCACGTGACGTCAAAGTCAGGCAGGCACTGTATGTGCTTATTTAGTCTGATATTTTCCATCACCTGTAATTTGGTTGCCGAGGTTCTGAAGGTGTGAGTGAGTGAGTTGGGTTTAATGCCGCTTTTAACAGTATTCCGGTTATATCGCGGCGTGTCAGCTTAAGGTGGGAGGAAATCCCGAAGTGATGTAGGTCTCAGACGTTTACCACTTCGGTGAAACCCACGAGCACGGGTATGGTGCTGACCAACCTAGAAACATAATCGGGGCGAACCGGGATTCGAACCCACTATCATAGGTTTCTGGCTTGCCTGAGGGACGCAACTCTACACAGCGAATCGACTGGGCCTCCCGTGCCCTCTGGTTCTGAAGGGCACGTTACATATGTCAGATATTCCCGCACCTGTGCCCTCAGACTGTCTGTGTTAGGTGTGATGATATTGGGCCACACTGGTTATGATATAACTGGAATACTGTTCAAAACGCCGTTAAACCAACTCACTACACCTTATATACTGCTCGTCATGCCACCCCTTTGTCAAAGTTCGTGATTTTGCCAATAGTTCGCTTTTGAAACGGGACCTACTTGCTTTGTTTTACTTAAATTGACTTGATGATATGTCAGCCCTGTGCTTTACTGATATGGTGCCGAACACTGTCCTACTTAAGGAGGGTCATACGATACCCAGGTCCGCTCTAACACAAATACCTATGTAAATATGCCAGGAATGACAAAACCTTGGAGCGCTATATCTCCACGCGGTGTAGGAGTGTTGACACTTACGCAATAATAACAGTGTTTCGTTTTCGTTTATTTGAATTTGCCTTTTTAGTTTGCCTTGACATGCAAAAATTACAAACGTTATCACAACGTTAACAGGCTGAAAGCAGTCGCCGAAACCTAAGGCAACTATGATACCCGCATCAAATACATCAACATCGAATGAACATTTCTTGTCTGTTTCATTTTAAGCCACCATCAAACATGTGTGTATTTCTTTTGCCCGGCAGTTACAGGTATCGTTAGCCCATTATGTCGGCGATGCGGAATGTACTCTGTCGTCACCGTTTATGTTCACACAATTAATTACTACACAAATACGACCCGTCAAGATCCGGGGTAGAATACTTCTTCAGCAACCCATGCTGGTCGTAAGAGGCGACAAACGGGATCGGGTGGTCAGGCTCGCTTTCTTGGTTGATGCATGTCATCGTATCCAAAATGCGTGGATCGATGTTCATGATGTCCAGACTCGATTATTTAGATTATTTACAGACAGCCGTTGTTGTCCCGATTTGTTTAACGCCGCACTCAGCAATATTCCAGCTATATAGCAGCGGCGCTAAACAACAAACACGCAAACTGCACAGATACACAATATACTTCGAAAATACAGTCTGTGATATGCATTCAGAGGTTGAAGGAACAGACACGACAATGCAACAGCTGTTATCGTGTTCAGCAGAATATTGCGAATAATCCGCGGATTCCTTGGTTCCAGATAGGGAATCTGGCGTTACCATCTACCAATGTTGTCACATCTACCCATGTTGTCACATCTACCCATGTTGTCACATCTACCCATGTCGTCACATCTAACCATGTTGTCACATATACCCATGTTGTCACATCTACCCATGTCGTCACATCTACCAATGTTGTCACATCTACCCATGTTGTCACATCTACCCATGTTGTCACATCTAACCATGTTGTCACATATACCCATGTTGTCACATCTACCCATGTCGTCACATCTACCAATGTTGTCACATCTACCCATGTTGTCACATCTACCCATGTCGTCACATCTACCAATGTTGTCACATCTACCCATGTTGTCACATCTACCCATGTTGTCACATCTACCAATGTTGTCACATCTAACCATGCTGTCACATATACCCATGTTGTCACATCTAACCATGTTGTCACATCTACCCATGTTGTACCATCTACCCATGTTGTTACATCTAACCATGTTGTACCATCTCCTCATGTTGTACCATCTACCCATGTTGTCACATCTACCCATGTTGTACCATCTCCTCATGTTGTACCATCTACCCATGTTGTCACATCTACCCATGTTGTCACATCTACCAATGTTGTACCATCTACCCATGTTGTTACATCTAACCATGTTGTCCCATCTACCCATGTTGTCCCATCTCCTCATGTTGTCACATCTACCCATGTTGTCACATCTCCTCATGTTGTCACATCTACCCATGTTGTCACATCTACCCATGTTGTACCATCTCCTCATGTTGTCACATCTCCTCATGTTGTCACATCTCCTCATGTTGTCACATCTACCCATGTTGTACCATCTCCTCATGTTGTCACATCTCCTCATGTTGTCACATCTCCTCATGTTGTCACATCTAACCATGTTGTCACATCTACCCATGTTGTCACATCTACCCATGTTGTCCCATCTACCCATGTTGTCACATCTAACCATGTTGTCACATCTACCCATGTTGTCACATCTACCCATGTTGTCACATCTACCCATGTTGTCACAATGTAGTCGCTGAATGTTGAATTAAAGAGTCAAATGTTCTTAAAGTGAAATACAACACTAGTCTTTGAGAAAATGGTATCACAAATCAGTCAGTATCTCGTGTGTCCGCCATTTGCATTGATGACTGCCGTGCAACGTCGATACATGGAATGGATGAAGCGGTCGATAAAGGCCAAACGCACTTGAGCCCACATTCTGAGGAACGCCTGACGCAGTTCAGCTGCAGTTGCCGGCCTTGGTCGGACGTCATTCAGCCGTCTTTGAATCTCATCCCGCAGGTGCTCAATGGAATTTAAATCGGGACTGAGGGCAGACCACTGCATGGTTCTGATGCCATTCTGCTGGAGGAAGTCTCTTATTGCTCTCGCAGTGTGGGCACGGGCGTTATCATGCTGGAACTTATGGTTGCGGCGACGTGCCAAATGAGGTATGGTGTGTGGTCTCAAGACTTGATCTATGTACCGAGCTGCTGTGACACCATTGCTTCTCCTTGGACTGATGTTCTGGAAGACCACAGGGTCGACCCTCTGTGCAAGACCAATTCCACCCCACACCATGATGTTCGGACCACCCCACGAGTCCCCGAATAACACAACACAAGCATCCGAATAACGTTCACCTGGCTACTTGCCGCGCGGTGTGTCAAGCTTGCAATCGTCCAAGGGCTAAGTGTCGCTGATTTCTTGTCAATCTAGGCATGTAGTAGCAACTTAATAACGAATGTATGTTTTCCGATCTGGGTGGATTTGTATAAGGCAAGAATGGGGGAAAGCATGTGCATTTCGATTTGCACGGAACTCACGTGCATCGGGTTACCATGGCCGTTGCCGTGATGCGTTAGGGCGATCGGTTTTATTGTCATCTGGTTTGTTTTTTTATCATCATTTTTCATTTTTTCGGACAAGGTAATGTTAAATTTTAGAAACATTGATAAAAATTACCCAGATATTTAAAAGACGACTTTTCATGCAATGTTACTTGGGGTGAAGGCCCTTTTTCTGTTTGGTCACGTGTACCAACTCACCATTTTATAACTTATGACTTGATAATAAACCTTTCAAGATTGTACTTATTTTGCTGTGTGCTGTATCGTGAAGCGCGTCCAAATAACTAGATGACCCAGAATTACAATTAATAACATAGAATTGTTTCGATATGCACCATTCTGGACAGATTTAAATTGTATGCAAAATCTTATTTAACATGTCTTTGTATTTTATACAGCGCGTGACAAGATTGTTTGATGTTAGTCATGATTTTTATGCTTGCTGTTTGACGCCGCACGCAGCAATATTCCAGCTTTATGACGGCGGTCTGCTGATAATCAAGTCTGGACCAGACAATCCAGTGATTGGCATCACGAGCATCGATCCACACAACTGGGATACGATAACATGCATCCACCCAACCAGCGAGCCTGACCACCCGATCCCGTTAGTCGCCTCTTATGACAAGCATAGTCGCCTGTTACGAAGGGTGTGTTGCTGAAGACCTATTCTAACCCGGATCTTCATTCACGGGTCAGTTAGACATGAATGACTGTTTTTTTTGGGGAGGATGCAAAATGTAATTTGTATATAATTTGACATTTTGTTCAGTACCTTTCATATCAGTGAACATAAAAGTTTTTTTATTTGCATTAAGTTGCCCACAAATAATAATATGTATCTAAATATATTGATTTATCATTCTCGAGGGCGTTACATTTAAATAGAGAATGAAACTCGTCTCCAACAGCTGATGAATTGCAGAGGTAGCCCATGCCATCTGATTTTACAGGAAGATAATGACTTAATGTTCTAAATTAGGTAATACCGGCTTCTGTTTCTCTTGTTTAAGAGACGATACCCCCTTTATCTGTATTAATGAACTGCATGTTCTGCATGGTTCAATCTACAGAGCTTGTACTTTGAAGTCGTTTTAAAGTCTCAAGGAGGATTGTTGTCATGTTATTAATATAATGAAACTATCAATATCTAAACACTTTCAACAGCCCGCAGACCACGTTTAAACGTTTAGGGATATAACGCATCCTCCACAACGACGGACGGGAACTATACTGATGCGCCCAAACAGATACGGGAACAATGAAACATACATGTGTAAGGAAATAAACTTCACCGTCAGAGCATTGGAAAAAACGCACATACAAATTCAACACATGTCAGAATCAAACGTTTGTGTCAATGTGTTTGTGTGCATTGTTTCCAGTATTTGGAAGACAGGGCTGGGAACCCATGACAGCATATCATTTTACTGTGTCTAAAACTAAGTGTTCCCTTATTTATTTCCATCAGTATATAAAGCTTATTAGTTCCAGGAAAGGGGTAATCAGTTTCGCAAATATTTGCTGATATCCGCGAAAAGTGCGGTTTTTGCTAAATAAAGGAAAAGTCTTTTGCGTTGTATTTATATCGTTACTGTTTGTAGCAGACATTCCCAGACACTGAATAAGACATGCTCCTGTCGGAATGTACACACATTTATCATATGATGGGTAGGTTTGTCGGTAGGATGAAGCCAACGGAGAAAACGGTATCCATTGGGGTCATATACGGTTAAAGATGCAAATATAAAAGGTCAAGTAAGACTACTTTCAGTGTTTACAAACAAACATGGCGTCGCCTTTCGCAATCGGCGATCGAGTCAGAATTAAACATCCGGCGTCTGGACTTTTGAGATAATTTTTATCTATATTATCAAAACGGTGGTGGAACGCTTGTGGTGTGGGGTGGGGCGGGGTGACTGAGCGAACTCCACTCCATATTGTACTAGGAGGGGTCACTAGACAGTACTATCGGGACAACATGCTGACATCGTGTGGGTCGACGTTGTGACGTTTTTGACTTTCAGGACGCCCATGCTCACCGTGCACAAATCGTCAGTGCTGACCCCCAGCAGCACAACTACCACAGACAGCCATGGCCAGCAGTGAGCCCGACTCTTTCCAACATCAAACACGTCTGGCACATGATAGGAAGGCGTTTGCGTCAACGTCATAGGTCGCCGACCACGTTGGCTGAACTTGGCCAGGCGCTTCAAGAGGAGTGGGACAGACTCCTTTTAATCGGCAGTGGGAGACTCATTCGCAGTATGCCTCATCGAATGAATGAATGTTTGACAAATTGTGGCGGGATCACGCACTACTGATCAAAAAGCGTCAACTTGACACTTCCCATCTTACCCCTACCGTCCTTGGAGATCGTTGACGTCATGACATCTACTGTCACACTTCACTACCGATTGTAATGTGTTCCCCATTCGCTCAATATTAACATACAACTATTTCGAGAAACTCATTTTGTTATTTTCGAAGTTTTCCAACTTTTTATAAGAGTATGTTATGCGCACATCCCAGGACAACATGCAATGTTTAGTAACCATTTGTGAGAGATGAGATCAGGTTTTTCGATGAGAGAATTTAAGAATGACATTATACGATTAAGAGGTTATCAGGCTTGTGTGTTTTGGGATGGTAAATATATGTATTAGGAATAGACACTATGTACTAAGTTCACCAAGGCATGCCAAATACAATGTTTATTCCTAATACAGAATATTTACCACCCCAAGACACACTTGCGTGATAACCTCCATATATTTGATTTTTTTTCAATGAGTAAACAGTAATAAATCTAATAAATAAATGGTATTCAGCATGCAATGAGCTAGGCACCCTTCATCTGTTAAAAGAAAATATAAGTGAGAGAGGGGACTTGGGACATATTTTGCGCAGGAATCGCCATTAATTGAAAATTGCGACGAAAATAAAAATGCGACATGATCACAACTGAGATAAACGTAAAAATCTGACCTTGACCTTGATAACCGTCGCGAGAATCCGATATCACAAAGAAACTACATATAGCTTTTATATCATTGATATATATAGAGAGCAGCATATACAAACATCACTGGTTGTAGTCAGCTGACAATCACTATGTACATAGAGACGCGCTAGGGCGATCGTTTAGGGAGGGTGCTCAGTTGGTCATTTTCTCTCGTCCGATTTCGTCGTAGCTCAGTCATAACGCAACAGACATGGCTGATCAGGAGAAGAGAGGAGTTTTTATTGCTAATGGGATTATTTCAGGATTGGTGCTGGCATGTGGTGAGTTTACTTTTACATAAACTTTACTTCAGGTACTCACCGGCCGGCCCTTACGACAAGCATAAGGGACTGGGGTACTAGACAATCAATGGGTACTGGGTACTGGGGTACTGGGGTACTGGACAATCAATGGGTACTGGGGGACTGGGGTACTGGACAATCAATTGGTACTGGGGTACTGGGGTACTGGACAATCAATGGGTACTGGGGACTTGGGCACTGGACAATCAATGGGCACTTGGGGACTGGGGTACTGGACAATCAATGGGTACTGGGGACTGGGGTACTGGACAATCAATGGGTACTGGGGACTTGGGTACTTGACAATCAATGGGTAATGGGGGACTGGGGTACTGGACAATCAATGGGTACTGGGGACTGGGGTACTGGACAATCAATGGGTACTGGGTACTGGGGACTTGGGTACTGGACAATCAATGGGTAATGGGGGACAGGGGTACTGGACAATCAATGGGTACACGGGACTTGGGTACTGGACAATCAATGGGTAATGGGGGACTGGGGTACTGGACAATCAATGGGTAATGGGGGACTTTGGTACTGGACAATCAATGGGTACTGGGGACTTGGGTACTGGACAATCAATGGGTAATGGGGGACTGGGGTACTGGACAATCAATGGGTACTGGGGACTTGGGTACTGGACAATCAATGGGTACTGGGGGACTGGGGCACTGGACAATCAATGGGTACTGGGGGCTGGGGTACTGGACAATCAATGGGTACTGGGTGACTGGGGTACTGGACAATCAATGGGTACCGGGGGACTGGGGTACTGGACAATCAATGGGTACTGGGGACTTGGGTACTGGACAATCAATGGGTACTGGGGGACAGGGGTACTGGACAATCAATGGGTACTTGGGACTGGGGTACTGGACAATCAATGGGTACTGGGGGACTGGGGTACTGGACAATCAATGGGTGCTGGGGGGCTGGGAGACTGGATAATCAATGGGTATTCGGAACTTGGGTACTGGACAATCAATGGGTACTGGAGACTGGGGTACTGGGCAATCAATGGGTACTGGGGGACTGGGATACTGGACAATCAATGGGTACTTGGGGACTGGGGTACTGGACAATCAATGGGTAATGGGGGGCTTGGAGACTGGATAATCAATGGGTATTCGGAACTTGGGTACTGGACAATCAATGGGTACTGGAGACTGGGGTACTGGACAATCAATGGGTACTAGGGACTGGGGTACTTGACAATAAATGGGTAATGGGGGACTTGGGTACTGGACAATCAATGGGTACTAGGGACTGGGATACTTGACAATAAATGGGTAATGGGGGACTTGGGTACTGGACAATCAATGGGTAATGGGGGACTGGGGTACTGGACAATCAATGGGTGCTGGGGGACTGGGGTACTGGACAATCAATGGGTACTGGGGGACTTGGGTACTGGGCAATCAATGGGTACTGGGGACTTGGGTACTGGGCAATCAATGGGTACTGGGGGACTGGGGTACTGGACAATCAATGGGTACTGGGGACTGGGGTACTGGACAATCAATGGGTACTGGGGACTTGGGTACTGGGCAATCAATGGGTACTGGGGGACTGGGGTACAGGACAATCAATGGGTACTGGGGACTTGGGTACTGGACAATCAATGGGTACAGGGGGACTGGGGTACTTGACAATCAATGGGTACTGAGGGCCTTGGTACTGGACAATCAATGGGTACTCGGTACTGGCGTAATGCGCAATCGTTGGGTATTGGGAACTGAGGTAATGGGCAATCATTGGGTATTGGGGACTGTGGTACTGGGCAGTCATTGGGTACTGGGGACTGTGGTACTGGACAAACATGAGATACTGAGGACTGTGGTACACGGCAGTCATTTGGGTGATGGGTACTGGGGACTGGGATAGCGGAAAAGAATGGGGTACTGTGGACCTGGGGTAGCAGACAAGCATGGGGTACTGTGGACCTGGGGTAGCAGACAAGCATGGGGTACTGTGGACCTGGGATAGCGGAAAAGCATGGGGTACTGTGAACCTGGGGTACCAGACAAGAATGGGGTACTGTGGACCTGGGGTACCAGACAAGCATGGGGTACTGTGGGCCTGGGATAGCGGAAAGGCATGGGGTACTGTGGACCTTGGGTAGCGGAAAAGCATGGGGTACTGTGGACCTGGGGTAGCAGACAAGAATGGGGTACCAGACAAGAATGGGGTACTGTGGACCTGGGATAGCGGAAAAGCATGGGGTACCAGACAAGAATGGGGTACTGTGGACCTGGGGTAGCAGACAAGAATGGGGTACTGTGGACCTGGGGTACCAGACAAGCATTGGGTAGTGTGGACCTGGGATAGCGGAAAAGCATGGGGTACTGTGGACCTGGGGTAGCAGACAAGCATGGGGTACTGTGGACATGGGGTACCAGACAAGAAATGGGTACTGTGGACCTTAGGTAGCAGACATGCATGGGGTACTGTTGGCCTGGGATAGCGGAAAAGCATAGGGTACTGTGGACTTGGGGTAGCGGAAAAGCATAGGGTACTGTGGACCTGGGGTAGCGGAAAAGCATTGGGTACTGTGGACCTGGGGTAGCAGACAAGCATGGGGTACTGTGGACCTGGGATAGCGGAAAAGCATTGGGTACTGTGGACCTGGGGTACCAGACAAGAATGAGGTACTGTGGACCTGGGGTTGCAGACAAGCATGGGGTACTGTGGACCTGGGATAGCGGAAAAGCATGGGGTACTGTGGACCTTGGGTAGCGGAAAGCATGGGGTACTGTGGACATGGGGTAGCGGAAAAGCATGGGGTACTGTGGACCTGGGGTAGCGGAAAAGCATGGGGTACTGTGGACCTGGGGTAGCGGAAAAGCATGGGGTACTGTGGACCTGGGGTAGCGGAAAAGCATTGGGTACTGTGGACCTTGGGTAGCGGAAAAGCATGGGGTACTGTGGACCTGGGGTAGCGGAAAAGCATGGGGTACCGTGGACCTTGGGTAGCGGAAAAGCATTGGGTACTGTGGACCTGGGGTAGCGGAAAAGCATTGGGTACTGTGGACCTGGGGTAGCGGAAAAGCATTGGGTACTGTGGACCTGGGGTAGCGGAAAAGCATTGGGTACTGTGGACCTGGGGTACCAGACAAGCATGGGGTACTGTGGGCCTGGGGTAGCGGAAAAGCATTGGGTACTGTGGACCTGGGGTACCAGACAAGCATGGGGTACTGTGGACCTGGGGTACTAGACAAGCATGGGGTACTTGGGGTGACTGAGTGACTGAGTGAGTTGTGTTTAACGCCAATTTGATTTACGTCTTTGGTGCTGGACATGTGGCTGACAAACTGAGAAACGCAAAAAGGGCGAATCTTGAATTCGAAGCCTCGATCATAGCTGCTTGTCACTCCTAAGGGAGGCAATTACACATTACACAGTATAATGCGAAGCTTTAGAAAGCTAGACCACCCGTGACCCCATTTATGTCTTAACTTGCTGTAACCTAATTTACAAGAACCGGTTATCAGGCGCGTCTTTGGACCCAAGATGTATTTAGGTTTTGTTTGTTTATCGATTGAACTCGCAAATTCGTTGTTATCACCTACCTGAATGGTATCATTTGAGTTGGAGATAGCATTATGTAGTGAAATGAAATCTGTGTACACAGTATAGTCGTATGGCTCGTTGACTTCAGAACGAAACCATATGTCGATAGAAGGTAGAAATACATGTGATATTTATGCTAGTGACTGCGCTTTTAGCAATATTCCAGCAATATCACGGCGGGGGACACCAGATATAGGCTTCACACATTGTACCCATGTCGGAAATCGAACCCTGGGTTTCGGCGTGACGATGGAACGCTGTAAACACTACCATACATGTATATTAGTGACATGTATGCTGGAGATTCACGCCAACAAAGCTTGCACTACAACCCAAAAGTATTTTATTTTATTTCGCTGACTTCCCTTGGAGCCTCAGCAGGAACTTTGTAAAATCTATGCGAAGATACGTCAACACTACAGCGGGTTATCCGACAATATTCTACAATGTTTTATGGAACTAATTAGTTTTATGGTGCGCGGGCGTTGACACAATCATTGTTAAGGATCACAAGTGACGTCCCATAATGTTAACACATGGTATATGATTAACTGTTGGATGTTTTTCGCTATTTCATAGATTACATTTTTCATAATATGGTTATTCTTATTTGAATCATATAACCAAAACTTTTAAAGGATTTCATATTATTAGTACAAATATTGAGCAAAACATGTTATGCATTGATAGTGACAAATGATTGTCAGTGTCAGCCACTGTATAATTTGTCGATCACCTTGCTGATATAATTAGACCTGACGCCGCATGCGTGCTCGTTCAAACTGGCAATGACAATTATAGTGATTACTATCAATGTGTAGTATGCAGATAAAAGTTGCATATACACTCTTATAGTTTCCCATTCAAACATACAAATAGACTAGATAGTCTTCACCTTTAAGTCAAGTATACTTCGTTAAATAGAGCGTCATTAACTCGTAACCTCATTCCTTGAACAATAGAAATAGTCCGGTACAATAGTTGAGGTTAAATGGGGTTTAACGTCGTGTCCAAGATTATTGCACTTATATAGCGACGTGCATGCAAGTGTGTGTGTGACTGCTTGTACTAGTCCGGACTGATGCCGATTTATAGTGCTAGCTCACTGAGATACCATGCCGCAGTTTAACATGAATACCTCTCTCAGACACAGTATACTGACTCCGAGCCGACAAGTCCTTGTTTTAGCCCCTTAATGTCGAGAGCCAGACAGGGTAACAACAAGAACCATCTTTTAACGTCTTTTGGATCGAATCCCGGACCTTCTGCTCTCCGGACGGACGCTCTACCTCTAGACCACGGAGGCAATCTGTCCCATATAACAAAGAAGTACAGAGTGCATAAGTCAATGTAGCCAATTACGTTTTTCGAATTGTTTCGTGTTTGTGAAATACAGTTGACGATATGACGCTAAACCGGTTTTCCTGCCAGATTAAACGAGAGATGGACCATTTGACCTTTTATGGGATGTGTTCAAGCAGGATTATACAAGAAGTGTTATGTAACACATATTTATCTTTTTGTCCCGCGCCCTCAAGTAAATATCACCACGTATATCTGTAGCGTTTTGGATACAGGTAAATATCGACCAATTAAGCTTCTGTAATCTGTACCGGGTATTTGTGATGACATTGATTAACGTCTTTCATCAGCAATAACTTGATTGTCGTAAGAATCGAAACATTTGTAAAGTGTATGACTCTGCTTAGATTAATCAATGACAACAGCCAGTCTTTATAGAAGATTTTATTAACAGTGCTACTTCAAGACTTTAGAAATTGCTGAAAATTCAAAACAGCAAATATATAAAGGGGAGCGACTACTAAATACTAATTAATCTACGTACTAAATAAACTGCCAATAGTATGTATTGGAGACACTCAAGCAACTTTGAGTAATCAAATTTTATACTACGGAAACCTTTTAGGGCCATTTCCTTTTTTATTCTTTTTTAAATTTCAAGATACTAAGTTGAAATTTGAAGATACAAACGTTATAATTCAAGTTAAAATCTGAAAATTTCAACTTATTATCTTGCAATTTCACGATCATTATCTTGAAATTTCAACTTAGTATGTTTGCAGTCGGAATCGTACAGAAATTTCTTATGAATATGGAAAGGGTTTTGTCGCTTTTATTACTATCTAGAGAAGAAAACAACGGCTATTTATGTGACCTTTCTATACCGCTTAATAGACCATATGACATGGGATATGCACGGTTTAGTCATAAGTTCTATTTGTAATCTACAGGGCGAGACTTCGCATCTGAGGCATCAGCCGATCAGGTGTCACACATGTCCTGGTTTCAAATTGCCTATGATTCATAATCCTGTCCTGAGCTGTGCATGGAATAAATAAAAACAAATCTATGTGATAAATTGTAATTCTGGGTCATCTAGTCATTTGAACGCAGTTCATGATATCGCATGCCAATCTTCAAAGGTTTATTTGCATACGTACGTACATCAGGTATAAAATCGTGTTGGCTCACGTGGTCAAACAAATAGTGAAAATGGTATGTCAAGATGTAGGAATTTATTTGGATGCACAGAGGACAAATGATGTTCATATATCACAGTACAGACTAACGCCAGATATTTAGCTGTCTTCCTGACCGCCTGTCTTATTGAAATGTTGGTGACTGTAATCATATTTAACTGACTAAACACAGCAGGATTAGACACAAGTTATCTATTTACGAGATGCTCTCATTATTTGAAGACATTGACATCAATGAAATCTTATGGGTGACTGGATCGGTCCATTATTCTATAGGTAGGCGCATTTTACCCCCTCTGTCGTCATAATGGGAATAATCATGATGTGAGCATTTGAGCATTAATTAATATAATTCATATGAATATGGATGTGTGTGTGTGTGTATGTATGTATTTATGTATGTATGTATGTATGTATGTATGTGTGTGTGTGTGTGTGTGTGTGTGTGTGTGTGTGTGTGTGTGTGTGTGTGTGTGTGTGTGTGTGTGTGTGTGTGTTAGGAGGGGAAGGGGGAATTCCATTTTTTACATGTATTTGAGAGAATGTGTTTGCAAATTATTTAAGAAAATATAACCATGGCCCACCGCGCGTTGACGTCGAGATGTGATAGTACTTAAAAAACAATAAATTGGCGTATTATTCGCGAATTAATCACAACGTCTACGTGGAATATTTGCAATTTCACAACAAAAATCGAAATCAAACCTGTAGTGTATACGTTTCTGCCAAAACCCTTACATCCATAAACAAAATCAGTTAGCGTTGTCTAGTTTCATGTTTGACTCGACAGGAATACCTTGGCTTTAGGCTTTCAATGTTGAATGTCAGTGTCAAATTTATTCCTCGTTCGTTTACTTTACTAGTTATATTTTTATTCCACAGGTACTGTTTTCAGCGCCTTGATGGGCGTTTACTTTGACAGTCTCTTCAAGGAAGTGTCCAATTTCACAGGCTTTGCATATCTCCCAGTGTGGAGCTTAGGCTTCGGTGTAAGTTACGATACTGCTGTTGTGTCCACCATAAAGCTGACCACGTCATTTACATGTACATGCAATTTTATAACGAATTTTATAATTTTATACGACAATCCTTTAATTATGTCTTACGACAATGACAAGTACACTAAGGAGCAAACGAAACTGCACCTCTCAGCTGATTTTATCATGTTTGATTTTCGAGTTAGCAATATTATATCCAAAACAGGAACAGTATTAGCTTAGTCAGCGCTCAAAGAATACCTCTACGTCGTTTTAATTTTGAAAATATAATTCAATTTAAAATGTTTCAAAATTTAAAACATGCTTTGGCATAATAAACAACTCCTGGTGGGTATCTTAGTCATCTTGTCTGTGAAAATCAATCAATTTGCTTTTATGATAGGTATCGTATGGCTGCAGATTCATTTCTAACCCAAGTCTTCATTGAACCAATTAATATTACACAAAATTACCGATAAACGTTTCCAAACTGTTACGTGAGTGAGAGCTGATTAAATACTTTAACAACAGTTCTTTAATTTTCCAAAAGACAACTCGGTATATTGTCTTTTGCTCCTCGGTACAAAATGATTATGGTTTTGAAGCGTGCATGCATGTCAAATATTTGATCAAGTTTGTTTTCGGCATACATGTCAATTATTTGATCAAGTTTGTTTCCGGCATGCGTGTCAATTATTTGATCAAGTTTGTTTTCGGTATACATGTCAATTATTTGATCAAGTTTGCTTTAGGCATGCATGTCAATTATTTGATCAAGTTTGTTTTCGGTATGCGTGTCAATTATCGTACCAGCATTATTTTATCTGTAAGATGGACATAAGTTAATTATTTTATCAGCATATATATATGCTTGCATGTAAATTACCTTCTGAGATTAGTTTTCATATATATACGATGCACACATATAAATTATACACTCTTCAAAAAAAGAAACGCATAGTTAAAAAAATAAGGATATTTATTAAGCGGATGTAAAAGTATCTACACAGAATATGCGTGAACACAATCAAATAAAATGAAACCCATTGATCGACAAAAGCATTGTGGTCATGGTTAGCATTAATTTTGTAAGGCGTTGGCGAGTTGTGCCAGTGTGTGGGGACGCTGGTGACGTTGACGGACTCGTCGATCACGTTCGTCCCACAAATGTTTAATCGGGTTGAGATCAGGCGATTTGGACGGTCATGGAAAACCATTGATGTTCTCATTAACAAGGAAATTAAATGTTGCATGTGCTGTGTTGGGCCGAGCGTTGTCATGTTGGAACAGCTCCCTCTAGAGGTCCAAAGTTTGGAAGAGGTGAGGACGCAGAATTTGGTCTATGTATCGGTTTGCTGCATTGCCCTGGAGAACCACTAACTGATCTATCCGTGTAGGATATGGCTCCCCACACCATGACACTCCCTCCACAAAATCGGTCCACCTGTCGAACGCAGTTCAGCGCAAAACGTTCATGTCGACGTCGGTATACACGTTGTCTTCCATACCGTCGTTGAAGAAGAAAACGTGACTCATCGCTGAACCAAACGCGTCGCCAGTTCCTGAGATCCCATGCCTGTACTCTGTTGCACCACCGGATACGTCGTTGACGGTGTAGACGTCGCAAGACAGGTCCAACTTTTGGACGTCTCGCTCGAATTCCCACTTCCCTCAGACGATTTCTGATGGTTTGGTCGGAAATTATTTGCATACCAGGCACTTGTCTTATAGTGTCCGGTGCTGTAGCAAATCGATTCCGAAGGTGATGCAACCGGATGTACCGATCCTGAGCAGGGGTGGTCTCTCTTGGTCTTCCACTTCTGGGATGATCTTGAGTCGAATTAGTGCGGGTATATCGATCCCATAGTCGAGATGTGGTGCTTTGGTGAACGTTGAAGTGTCTTGCAACGGCAGACTGGGACTCCCCTGCTTCCAAACGTCCAATGGCGATATTTCGTTCAGCTGCAGTTAATCTTGGCATTTTTCGACCTCCGTTCACGTCAGAATATTCGTAATGAACTGGTGAATTTTGTACGGTCTTTTATAGTCAGTGTCTCTACTCTTGTTTCCAACATTTTGCACGTGCATTGTGCTGAAACTTTTTTCTGAAAGCAATTTCCGTGCATCCTTTGCATTTTTGCTGATAAACGTTTACAAAAAAACCATTTTGAGATGTGTTTGCGCGCAATGCACAACAAACATGGCATGATTAACGGGAATCAAACATAAGAATTGACTTTGTAACGATTGCTTGGAAAGAAAATGTAATTGGAATTCCCAAAACACCTATGCGTTTCTTTTTTTGAAGAGTGTATTATCAGCATTGCTTTTCATATATGATGCAAACATGTCAATTATTTTATGAGCTTAGTTTCACATAGATAACGCATACAGTGCCAATTTTCATTTTGTTATATATATATATGTATATGATGCATACAAGTCAATTATCGTGTCAGCATTGTTTAATATGTCGTATCATTTTATTTTCAGTACATAGTACCAGGCCTTATTGGGCTCCTAGCAACCTGCTGCCGGGCAAAAGGAGGCGTAAGGATATTTATATCCTTCTGAATCCCTAGAAACATGCATCCGACCTGTCCCCAGTGTATGTGTTCGGGGCCACAGTAAAGCTTTCAAAAGGGTTGATGGTAGACACGTGGAAGACATTTCCAAATTTGCCGCATAAGTGACCAAAATGATGTTGGATGACATCCCTATTTTGACTCGTACTAAATGTTCCCATGTTGTTTCAGGTGACTTGCCTTTGCATGTGTTTGTGACGGGTGCCATCGGTGGGGCATGTACGCGAACGTTTCCCTGTCATCACTGTCTGATAATGATTCATAAACACATGGTCATGATGTGGTCGGGATCGTTCAATCGAGTCTGTTTTTATCAGAATTGTTTTATGTACATGGAAAGGGAAGTGTCGATGTTGTTTACATGGAGTGAGTGAGTTGGGTTTAACGCCGCTTTTAACAGTATTACAGTTATATCACGGCGTGTCAGCTTAATATGGGAAGAAAGCCCGAAGTGATGCAGTTCTCAGACGTTTACCACTTCGGTGAAACCCACGAGCACGGGTATGGTGCTGACAAACCTAGAAACATAATCGGGGCGAACCGGGATTTAAACCCACAATCATAGGTTTCTGGCGTGCCCAAGGGAAGCAACTTAGACGACTCGGCCATATTTACATGGAGGCTTGATAGTGGGGTTGTAGGTGATGATATAAATAAACCCTTTCAATCCCAGCTATTTTATTTACAAGAATAACACAAAACAATTCCTAGGATAATTGCATTCACTGGTATTCACACACTCCACACGCACACGCACACGCACACGCACCCACACATACACACGCATTCGTGACCAACTCGTGTTATTCCGGGACAAGCCGAATAGTGACTCGTGCCCCACTCGTGGCCATTTTTGCAACCAGGTTCCGTCTTAGCGCAAACGGGCGTACCTAAAACAATTGTCAACTCGTTGCGCAATGGTTCCCATATATTTCCCCTATATTACTTATATTTCAGATGCAATTTAAAGCACATCAGGACATGCGAAATTATACAGTAAGATTGAACACATTTAACTGTGTCTTGGGTATATTTTTAGATGCAAGACATATGTAAAAACAGAAATTATTTCTGAGGGATTCTTTGACGAAGAACTTGAAATCATACGCGTATTCTGATTGGTTTGTCGTATTTTCGCATATAGCATTTATCGATAGGGGGACGAGTCTTCTTGCAGGTTACGGAAAAGGGCGAGTGGTGACGAATGAGACACACGTACACAGGGAGGCACACAAGCACGCACACAGACAGAGAGAGAGACACACACACGTACACGCACAAGCATATGCCCGCACGCAAACACACACACAGACACGCGCGCAAAATGCAAACACCAATTTTTCTCTACACCCACATCTACCGCGTCTAAGGGCAGACATATGTGGTAATATGTATACTCACATTATTTGATAGTCTCCGTGGCCTAGTGGATAGAGCGTCTGTCCGTCATACTAAGAGACGTTAAAAAATTATCCTGCCGAGGTGGTACTTGTTACCCTGCCGAGATGGTACTTGTTACCCTGCCAAGATGGTACTTGTTACCCTGCCAAAATGGTAATTGTTACCCTGCCAAGATGGTACTTGTTACCCTGCCCGGGTGCCGTTGTACAAAACGACCTTAGCGCTACGACTGTCATAAGTCTATGTCAAGATATAGGAATTACGATCAACTTAGCGCTAAGATCGCTTTGTACAACGGCACCCTGGTGCTCGGCATTAAAGGGATAAAACAAGGAATGGTCGGCTCGGAGTCGGTATACTGTGTCTGAGTGGGGTATGCATGTTAAACTACGGCATCATATCTCAGTGGGCTGGCGCTATATAATCAGGAGACCGAACTAGCAGCCACATGTATACACATCACTCGGTTACGGAAAATTTATGAATTTTAGAAGAAACATATTTGAAATTTGATCAAAGAGCCTGGACCCTGTTGTTATCATTTGGTTATTTGTATCTTTGGCAGATTAAGACGAGGCCGTTTTGAAATCCAAAATGGACGCCGAAAAGGCCGGCGAAAAATAGAGGGACCAATGGATTTCTTAAACCTTGTGTCAAAGAGAATGAGCCCAACTTCTCACAAACTTAAAGACATTACATTTCGCTATATACTTAGTCTATAAGACCTCAGGCCTTCCTCCCACACCAAGCCGACACACCCGGATGTACATGTAACGACAATACTGTTCAGAGTGGCGAACATGAAACATGCCCACTCACTAGGTGTGTTCACAGTGGTGATGAAGTCCAGTTGTCAAGGTATTTCTATCCACCACCATGTATGCATCCCCGTATCAATTGCAGTGCTTGTACATACGATGACTGAGTGCAACAAACTGATTCTCTCTTCTTCTTCTTCAGTACATCACCCAGATGGTGTTCTGCATCCTTACTCTACTGGCCATGGGGATCTTCGTCGTCATAGCCGGACTAGCATTAACTGGTATCAGTTATGCCAACGCTTCCTGCGAGTAAGACTATTTCGTTCTCTCTCAGGTCACTGCACATAAACCTGTACCACATTCAGCGAATGCTTAGGGAATCCCTGTATAATGTAGTATAGGTAACTGACTTAACGCCATCCGTATAACCACAAGACTGACCAAACCCGAGACCCGTGAAGATCCGTGGTGGAACAGATCTTCAGCAACCCATTCTTGCCGTAAAAAGCAACTATGCTTGTCGTAAGAGGCGACTAACGGGATCAGGTTGTCAGGCTCGCTGACTTGGTTCATGCATGTCATCGTATCCGAATTGTGTGGATAAATGCTCATGATATTAATCACTGGATTATCTGGTCCTGACTCGATTATTTACAGACCGCCGGGGGGCACGGGTGGCCCAGTCGTCTAAGGCGCCGCGATTCGCTGTGCAGAGTTGCGTCCCCTGGGCACGCCATAAACTTATGATTGTGGGTTCGAATCTCGGATCGCCCCAATTATGTTTCTAGGTTTGTCAGCACCATACCCGTGCTCGTGGGTTTCACCGAAGTGGTAAACGTCTGAGACCTGCATCACTCCGGGCTTTCCTCCCACATTAAGCTGACACGCCGTGATATAACTGGAATACTGTTAAAAGCGGCGTTAAAACCCAACTCACTCACTCACTACAGACCGCCGTCTTATAGCTGGAATATTACTGAGTGCGGCGTTAAACAACAAATAAACATGTGACAAGCCATTTCCAGTCTTTCCTAGTCGTGATGGGGAAAAATGCTGAAATATTTCCATAACCAGCGGAAACTCAACTTACTCAGTCACTCACTCACTCTGGCATTGTGTACGTATTGTCTGTCCAGCTCCTCGTTTGACGATGTCTGTACTGACATTGCCGGGAGATTCTTCGCTGTTCTCTACAGCATCATGGTCAGCATGATCCTTGGCTGGGTCCTCACACTGGTCATCACAATACTCGGCGGCGTGCTGGCCTGCCGACCACAGGTGAGTCTGATATACAGTGAACCCTCATTAATCCGGACCCAGTTATCCGAACACTCCACTATCCGGACACCTGCAAGGAACATCTAAGTGTATACTTCAAAGTAAATTCGGACCCAGTTATCCGAAACACTCCGCTATCCGGGCACTCGCAAGGAACATCTGAGGTCATACTTCATCGTTAATCCGAACCAAGTTATTCCGAACACTCCGCTATCCGGACACCTGAAAGGAGCATCTAAATATATACTTAATCGTTAATTCGGACCCAGTTATCGCGACCACTCCGCTATCCGGACACCTGAAAGGAGCATCTAAATATCTATATCATCGTTAATCCGGGCGGTTTCAGCGGCAACGGCATGTCCAGATTGTCGGGGTTCCACTGCCGTTTGGAGAACATATAGGAAAATGTGGACCGTTTCATATGACTTCAACATTATAACATTTATTTAGCGACGTGCAAGCACCTGTATGTAGCTGCTTGTGAGGTGAGGTGAAATGGGGTTTGACGTCGCGTTCAAGATTATTGCGCTCATATAGCGGCTTGCATGTGTGTGTGTGTGTGTGTGTGTGTGTGTGCTTGTACTAGTCCGGACTAATGTCGATTTTATAGTGCTAGTCCACTGAGATACCATGCCGCAGTTTAACATCCCAATCAGACACAGTATACGACCTCCGAGGAAACCAGTCCTTGTTTTAGCCCTTCAATACCGAGCACCGAGCAGGGTAACAACAAGTACCATCTTTTAACATATTTTGGTATGACGCGGCCAGGGATCGAAACCCGGACCTTCCGCTCTCCGGGCGGACGCTCGACCACCAGACCACGGAGGCCGTTTAGATGCACGTGCTGGTCGGGACTAATGTCGGTTTAATAGTGCCAGTCCACTAAGATATCATGCCGCAGTTTTGCATTGATCCCACATAGACACAAAATAGTGCGGATCATTTAGCTTTAGCTGCTTAACGCCGAGTGCCAGGCAGAGTAACAGGTGCCATTTATCAACATTTGGTATGGCACGGCCAGGGGATCGAACCACCGACCTTCTATTCACTAGAGGGGGGCACGGGTGGCTCTGTCGTCTGAGGCGCCGCGATTCGCTGTGCAGAGTTGTGTCCCCTGGACACGCCAGAAACCTGTGATTGTGGGTTCGAATATCGGTTCGCCCCGATTATGTTCTAGTTTTGGCAGCAGCATACCCGTGCTCGTGGGTTTCAACGTAGTGGTAAACGTCTGAGACCTGCATCACTTCGGGCGTTCCTCCCACATTAAGCTGACATCCCGCGATATAACTGGAATATTGTTAAAGCGGAATTAAACCAAACTCACTCACTATCCCCTAGACCACGGGGTAATGTAATGGAGCCCTATGTTATATTTACTTAAATGTGACACATCAATACATTTCAGACCACCCCGGAAATGGTGATGGTGCCCATGGCCCAGGTCTCCGTCTTAAGTGGCAATCATTCGCAGTACACCGGCGTCGCACCCTCCATGGTAACACCAGCTACAAACGAAGGATTTCACGCCGAAAAATACTAGCTCTTCTGCTTTAGGTACAAGAGCCTACTATGGACTGAGCTATATCTCCAAACGATCTTCACCAATTTATGACATGAATGACGGGTGTAACATTATCCATGGAAGTTATACAGAATGAACGTCTAGCAGTAATTGCTGGAGATAGCTGTAACAAACATTGAAAAATATACCATGACACATTAGTCTCCTGTATTCTGATTGGTCCGTCAGAGGTATCAAATCTACTTTAGTCCATGAGCTTACCATGAAAGAGAATATTACTAGTTCGCAAATCCGCCCGTTTGACAATTACTTTATTTCTTTGACGTTGCTAAGTAACGCGTTGAAGTTCCTACAATATTTGCAGAAAAATGTGGCGGCATATTTCAGGTGGAAAACATAACAACAAAATAATTAGAGTATATTATAATATTCAGCAAGATCAACGTGGATTTAAATTTTGGGGGCTACCCTGTCACGTACTGTCACGTCATGTTAACCGCGTCACAATACTTAGACTTCCCATCTGAAGAACTTTATGACGTCATAATAGGGATGTGCACTTTAGAACAAAACAGTACTAAGATCGCTCCATTTATTCCAAGGATGTCAGTTTGAATAATGCCAAATTGATGTTTTGTGTCTTATTGAAGCATAAAATAGTCTAAAATAATTGGTTTGAGTACATGAAGCACATCTATGTGCAGACGCTGAATTTGCCTTTTCATCCAACTGAAAATATTAGTCTCAACTGATGTCACTTATCCGCTATGACCGAAGAGTTTGAGTGAGTTTTGACATTGTGCCGTGGTAGAATGGAGATAAACCAAATGTGTTTTCAATGTTGGGGTTTCGACCTTAAATTCAAATGTCTTTCAAATTACTCCCATGCTTGTCGTAGGAGGCGACTAATGGGATCGGGCTGTCAGGCTCGCTGACTTGAATCGATGCTCATTATATCAATCATTGTATTGTCTGGTCCAGATTCGATTATTTACAGACCGCCGTCATATAACTGGAATATTTATGAGTGTGGCGTTAAACAACAAACAAGCAAATCAAATGAAATTTCCAGATACATGTATCGAGTCTACGTTCGAAAGCTCCAACTTGAAAACACACAAGGTTTAACTTCTAAATTCATGGGAGTGGCTGCTGTGATCCAATTGCTTGAAACCCTTGTCAAATAAGTAATTTCTTCTCAATCCCAAATACTGATAACATTTGTATTTTACAATGTCGTTAACACGATGTGTTTTCAGATTTACGGGTGTTATTGAGTGTTCGATGCCGACACTATTGACATTTATTTACCAAGACAGGGTAACAACAGGTACCATCTTTTAACGTCTTTTGGTATGACGCGGCTGGGGATCGAACCCCGGACCTTCCGCTCTCCGGGCGGACGCTCTACCAGTAGACCACGGAGGCGGTTTCCTCAAATCAGGAGATTGCTTGTGTCTTAAGACAACTGGATTTCAGGGTCAGAATATGTCAATCACACCAAAGTTTGTCACAAGGGGCGACCAAACTAAAGATGGAATGTGCACAATGTGTGGTCTGATGTACAGTCTTTCATTGTAACCTATGGGATGCATCACTGTCGTTGTTCATACTGTCAACCATTGTTTTGTCTGTCAGAGATTTTATTATTCACAGGCTGTAATATTCTTGACAATAAACAAAACCCAATCACTGATGTCTGTATACACCAAAGTCTATGTGTTATAATCTGTGTTAGAGTGAGTGAGTGAGTATGGTTTTACGCCGCTTTTAGCAATATTCCAGCAATATCACCGCCCTAGTAAAAGAGAGAACATTAGAGATGTCACTTCCCCTGTGACCACATTTGGAACTGAAACCTGGATTCTATAACAAGTTCCAAGGGTATGGATGGAACTCTAGTGTAAAAACGTGATGTCATCCTTGCTCTGGCACAGGTGCATCGAATACCTAACATAATCTTGTCATATACTAATAGTAAATGAAAATTAGTTTAATGCTGCTTGCTGCATACATGGATCTGCATTCAGTATACGACATGCCACCTGCATCACTTCGGGCTTTATTGCAACATAAATAAATCTTGGGACGTGGGGTGTGGCTATATATGTAAAAGATCATTTTCATGTTGGGTCTCTTGGCCAGCTACAAACAAATGAACACGAGGTGATATGGTTACAAGTTAAATGTAAATAAAGTTCTTTTTTGATCGCATATGTTATACATCTGATGCAAGGGTGACGCTTATTTTGATGCGATTAAACATCCTATTAGAGATGCTATTGATCGGAACATGGTACCTCTCACTGTTGGGGATTTTAACATATTGTCGACAGAAGAGACCTCTAGAAACCCTATTTGGACTTAAACAAATCATCACTGAACCAACTGGAATCACGCAAACATCCAGCTCATTAATTGATGTAATCTTGGTGTGTAACGTTGATTCGGTACGTGAATCAGGTATGCTGGCTCCCATATGTCGTGATCACTGCCCTGTACGTGTAAAAATCAAATCAAATATTCCCCCTACCTTATCATATGAAAGTAAAATATATTACAATGCTCAGCCAATGTTGAAAGAATAAATAGAGGTGTTTATAATATACACTGGACCCACATGTATTTCTTCAAGTGTAAATGGCATTGCAAATGATATAGTAGAGGCTTTAGTTAATATTGGTGCTACTTTCATACTTACATAATAGTAAACATTAGATCAGTCGATGAAGCATGGATTACTTCCAACATTCATGCATATTCGGCATTGAAATCGCCAACATAAAAAAGTTAAAAGCATAAATTTAACCACAGACTGGACAAAGTTCCGATTACTAATAAACACAGTTACTGTAGCAGTAACAAAGGCAAACAGGGATTTTTTCATCAAGGATAGATGCACAAATAAATAACAACTGTAATCCCAAAACATGGTGGCGGTTTGTTAAAAATTATATGAAAACTAAAACTTGCCTCACTCTCGCAAGTGTGGGTTCGAATCCCCCAAAAATTACGAGAATCTGTACTTTACTAAGAAAGTGTTATCCCAAATATAGCATTTGTTACATTTGACCACTTTCTAAATTGCATTATGTATTCAAAACTAAAACAACTGCAAATCGCACCACTGTCCACTTATATATCACAATGGCATATTTCATAATGAAGTTGTATCAATTGCCATTTTACTTAGTGACTATTTTACAGAACAATACAAGTTCTTAATCCAGACAAAGAGTTACCTCACTATGTGGCCCCTGATGACGTTACTCAAAGTTATACCAAAGTTACTAGAAAGGAAGTCAAAGATGTTCTCATGTCACTTGGTACTTCTAAAGCTACGGGATCTAAATGCTCGTCGATATGAACGACACATTTCTGATAATGCAGCTAGTTCTTGTGGCTATATGCATGGAAATGTATTTGTTTTCTTGTCCAATTTTTAACGATATAAGACATGATTCATTCTTCTACTCTTAAGGAGATGATCTTACTACAATATTGAATGGTAAAAGGCCTAAAAATGCTAATTTAAAAAAACCCAGTAATTTTAATGTTACACATACGTCATTCAAAAAGGTTTACACTAACTTGAAACTATAAATCCCGCATATATCTTCTACAAGTCTTCTCATTACACCACACTGTTGCTCATGACCTCTGTCAATTCCTTCAATTATCCCTATCCATTGGTTTTTAGGCCCGTGACGATCCGGGGTAGAATAGGTCTTCAGGAACCCATGCTTGCCGTAAAGGTGACTATGCTTGTCGTAAGGGGCGACTAACGGGATCGGGTTGTCAGTGAGTAGGTGTGTGAGTATGGTTTTACGCCGCTTTTAGTAATATTCCAGCAATATCGCGGCGGGGGACACCAGAAATGGGTTCACACATTGTACCTATGTCGGGGATCGAACCCGGGTCTTCGGCGTGACGAGCGAACGCTTTAACCACTAGGCTACCCGACCGCCCCTCGGGTTCTTAGGTTCGCTGACTTGGTTGATGCATGTCATCGATCCCAATTGCGTGGGTCGATGCTCATGATATTAATCTTACCATGTACGTCTACAAGATTGCTTTCATTCTTGCTGACCAAGGTTTCTTTTAGTGAGCCTACACTTCTATCATACATGATGTCGTAGAAACGATATGTTCATTTTGAATAACTGGACATGGGCCTTGATGTGCTCCAACGTCATGTGGAATTTCATTTGTGTTTGACCGTGGTACGTGTAGGCTCTGTGTGTCAAACAGGATATCAGGCACCGTGAGTAAGCTGCTGCAGAGCTGTAGACTTGAATGATGGCGTTGGATAAGGTGATATTTCTGTCTGCATGAACACAGGACTAGGAATCACACAAGGGGCACGGATGGCTCAGTCGTCTAAGGCGCCACAATTCGCTGTACAGAGTTGCGTTCCTTGGGCATGCTAGAAACCTATGATTGTGGGTTCGAATCCCGTTTCGACCCGATTATGTTTCTAGGTTTGTCAGCACCATACCCGTGCTCGTGGGTTTCACCGAAGTGGTAAAAGTCTGAAACCTGCATCACTTCGGGCTTTCCTCCCACATTAAGCTGACATAACTGGAATACTGTTAAAAGCGTCGTTAAACCCAACTCACTCACCCACTCAGAATCACACAATTCAGAGAGCTTGATATCGAGATTGGATATTTTTCAGGTATAGCTACAAAACTATTTTTTATTTATTTAAAACGATGAGCGAGATTTCAAAAAAAGAAAAACACCTTGCAACATTGTCTTTTTGTGGCAGGCACTATTTCTTTTTTCCAACAGTGTGAAGGACAATTATATTTTTCAAGAATATTTGGAGACAATTTACCTTTTTCGATAAAATCCCATCCACATATAGGCACCAATCTAACTCTCCTCCCCGTGCTGATCTGTTTCTTTATGCACATGAATCGAAATTTCTACTTGGATTGACAAAATCAAAACGAGGGAATGTGGTCAAGAACTTAACCTGAGGTTATCCATAATCGTTTAATAATGAACAGCTTGCCAATTCTCTTCCACTGATTTACCCACCTGAACTAGACATAAAAGAGACCAGTGATACCACCTCATCTGTTTCATTTAAAAATCTCACGATTCAGAGTGACAAAATGTTATCCACAAGACTTGTGACAAGAGGAATGACTTGAACTGTTCACGCGGCAACGCTTCCCTCTCTGTGGGACAGTATTCCAGCAGCTCCATACTTTGGTGTGTACACATCACAACGTTCGAGGCTCTGTCGAGCATGCTCTTTCTACCCGGATTTAAAAAAAAATGTCACACGTCTGTTACTCCCAGGTTGTTGCTAATGGTTACAACATTCAAGGTCTCAGTAAAGTCCCCCCCCCCCAAAAAAAAAAAAAAATGTTTGTAGACATATCCAAATGCGACCCATCAGTGACCGAAATGATGTATCATGTACTCACACACAGGCTGGGCAGATGAACCAGGTCCTACTGTTACATGTAGACAAAATACCCATTCCCTTTTATGGCATTTATTACAATTGAGGGAGTTGGGTATAACCATGCTTGTGATTTATTTCATTTAAACTTGTTACAGTGCAAGGAAAGCACATGACGACATCCGCAAGTTTCTTAAAACCTCTATTTACTCTCTCTCATGGAAAAGGTTCAACTAACCACGCACCAAAATCAACCCTGAGATGACTCCATTAGCAATATAAACTCCTTTATACTTATCTTCAGTCATGGCGGATGGTAAATGTTTAGTCTTTTGTCTACTTTAAACCGTGTCAGAAAACCCTTTTCCCTTCCAGTCACCCTTCTCCCATAATTAGAAACCTAGGGTAAATTATGTCTATTGTTTCGTGGGTGCATTGCTATCGTGGAATGACCGCCAGTCTGCATGTACCGCTCACTACTGATTATCCAAGAAGTATACTTGCTGATCAGAGGGAGGTCCATACTGAAGATTTATTAACTTGTCCCTTTCTGGTAGAGTTGTTCAGGTTGTTTACCAACAGATTTATTAACCTGTCCCTCACTTGAGGTTTTACCAACAGATTTATTGACCGGTCCCTCACTTGAGGTTTTACCAACAGATTTATTAACCTGACCCATGGCGCAAACCAGGCTTTGGGTAGCGGATAAGTTCTTTAAAATAAATCAACACACATGTTTCAACGTTTATTCTGAGATGCCATAAACCATGCCATTTACAGTTCAGCTGAAGTTGAATGTGACACAAATGTTCCGCGAAGCGTCTTTTTTGTTTTTTTCTCGCAAGTCGTGATCAGAGACAATTTCACTGGAAACGGCTGTTGGCGGTGCTGCAGATGACGGAATAGCAGTAGCAGTAGCAACTGACGGCGGCGCAGTAGCATCATCTGGAGATGGTCTCGTGGCAGTGGCAGTAACAGACTTTTTCTGCTTTCCCCCACCATAGATGATGTCAGACACCAGCAGTTTCTGATCTTCGGATGTCCGTTTATAAGTGCGCACAGTTTCGCTTCGATGGCCTGAAACATATACGCTGTCAATTGTACCTTTCATATGATAACACTACTCCAAAATAGTTGCCCACAAATAATTTATATGTTATCTTTTCCACCAATTTGGAAGAAAAAATATTTTTAAAACTTCAATCCGTAAAATGTTGCTTTACCTGTCTGCTCGAAAATAAGTTGCCCATCAACGTTGGCTCTGTATAGTCTGGTGGCGGATGTTGCCC